GAAAGAGGAGACAGCCAAATTGGGGATGGGATGTCAGAGCTCTGTCAAATATAGAGATTGAAAACGATGGATGGATTTGAGAGTGGACAGCCCAGCCAAATCTAAATCGTGCAGAACAGATTTTACAGCCAGGACCGTCATCTGTCCAGAGCAGAGAAAGGGAATTCAAAAGTTTGTTTTAAAGATTGAAGTCAGGGACCAGACAGTGAGCTTCTTTATACAGTACATGCAAGTTTAAAAAGCACTGTGAATGTTCCGAGTCATTTTATCATTATATCTCACCTTAATTCTCTCAACTGTATGTTAATGAAATTTAGCCTAAAATCTGGCTTAATCAGCTGGTTGGTCAGCTCTCAGCAGTAGCCACAATGTAAGAAATAACTGTAACTCGTCACTGGGACAGTATCCACGAAAGGAAAAGCCTGTGTGCCGTATCTATACCCTGAATAGTGCACACAGGTATCCTAAATAACCTTTAAAGGGGTCTTGAACTGCCTTTGTTTTTTATTTTGTACGCACAGTTCTCTGAGGTCCACTTATAAAGTCAAGATTTTTACATCAAAATATGTCCTAATTTAGAAGTAATAGGCTATTTTTTGTCCTGTTTTGAACCCCTCATTGGAACGCTCTGTTTGAATAGGCGTGGCGGATAATAGACTCGCTATGATTGGCTAACAGTTTTGCAGTTTTTCATAATCCTAAATAACCTTTAAAGGGGTCTTGAACTGCCTTTGTTTTTTATTTTGTACGCACGGTTCTCTGAGGTCCACTTATAAAGTCAAGATTTTTACATCAAAATATGTCCTAATTTAGAAGTAATAGGCTATTTTTTGTCCTGTTTTGAACCCCTCATTGGAATGCTCTGTTTGAATAGGCGTGGCGGATAATAGACTCGCTATGATTGGCTAACAGTTTTGCAGTTTTTCATAGATGGACGCTGCGGTGATTTAGGTTAAAAACACATAAATACCCAGTACATAGCAATACTGACCATGTAATAAAAACAGTAAACCACACTCATTGACTACTTTCGGATCCAATATAGTCGGTACAGCATCGTCTTTTAGTTTCAATCTTTCTGAAAATCCTGTGTCAAATTGTGCCTTGTTTGTAAACAATTATGTGGTAAAATGAAGTGAACAAAGGACCGAGTTCTTACTGACGCGGTCTGGAACTTCATTAAAAATAGTTAATCCACTCTTTCCTAATGCTGGGATCAGAATTTGGCACTGCACCACATCTTGTTGTCTTCGGAGCATCTTTATTGTTTTGTTTCTGCATAGTCCTGTGTTTGCCTCTCTCATTATTTACACTACAAGCGTGAATCGTGGGCGGGGCTAAAGAGGCAGCGATGTAGAAGCAGGCGTTGATCTTCTTCTGCGGAGGCGGTGTTTAGCCACACTATTACATCATAGAGTGGTACACTCCGCAAGCTGTCGTTTTGGCAGATTGGCTTCAAAATAAGCTGTTTTTAGACTAATGAGAAAGTTAGAAACCTTGAAACTTACAGGAAGTTTTTATAGTACAATGACCTCTTATATGTCTAGAGATCAGAGGAATTTTGCTTTCTCAGTTCATGACCCCTTTAAGGCAGTGGTTCCAAACCTCTTTCACTTGACATTTTTCAACACTATATCAGAAGGATCCCTATACTAAATAAGATAATTCCTCTGGCATTTCTGCTGTAATTATGATTTAAAGTATTGGTTTTGTTAACAGAAATGGAGAGTGTTGACATATTGAAATAATTAACCACTAGGTTGGGAGGGGAATGTGAATACATTAAAGGCAGGGTATGTGATTTTTCAAAAACACTTTAGAAAACTGATTCGGGCCAAATAGCAAAATAAACTTGTAGCCAATCAGCAATAAGGGGCGTGTCTACTCGTGATGTGGAGGAGAGAGCTTTCAGTGCATGGGACGGACATTAGCCGAGCCGAGCGACAGAAAGATAGAGATGGCGGATAAAAAACAAAAGAGGAAAACGTCTGCGGAACGATAAGGCAAGAAGTAGGACCTGTGTAAATATCGGATCAGCTTTCCAGCGCTGGAGAGAACTCAAGGAGCGGAGGCCTGCGATCGGACGCCGAGGTTGCTTTGTTTCTTCTCAATAGGTGAGTAACACCGTGTCTACAACAGCTAAAGTCTGCCTACACTGGACACGATCAAACGACCGTTGAAAACCATTTGAAATGTGTGTCAGCAAGTCATAAATAGAACCCGGCAGCAGTTTTCTGTCGGGATTTGTTGCGCCGCGCCGCGCCGCTCACGTCCGTAGACAAGGTGTAACATTGGTTTTGCTTTGTTTCACAGAACTAATCGTTGCCTGGGTTGCGTACGTATATATGGGGCGGAGCTATCAAAATAGGGGCAAGACCCTTTTGAGGTAGGGGCGTGTTTGTTTTGGTGATTTCAAATATCAACATTGGCTACCAGAAATCGCTTACTCTGCCTTTAAGAATATAATTTCAGTTTACATTTTTTTGTTTGTTTGTTTAGCATTTGTATTGAGATTTTTCATAATATAATTAAACATTTTAAGTTATCCTATAGTCTCCTTGGAAGTTTGCTGAGGCCCCAAACCGATCTTTATTTGCAGGGTGATTTCATATGAATTTGTACACTGTGAATCTTCAATTTTTAGAATAAAAGCAAGCATAACTACTTTTAGATTTGTAATGCTGTAAGTTATTAGAATGTTTCAGTATAGTGATAGCGCAAGTACAACCAACCAAAACTTATTAAAAGAACAATTTAGTGAATAAGTGAGACTTTGAGCTGCAATAATGGCATTAAAAGGCCACAAAAAGCTTGTGAGCTGTTTCTGCACTGTGACCAATATGAACTTCCAAGATACATATCCAACTAGTCAGAAGAACTAGGCTATTTATCTAGAAAGAATAAACTGTGGTTATTCTGACAGTTCCTGTATTTTAAACACTTGGAGGGAAATGATTATGACAGTTGTAGAGGATTATTGCAAAAAATTACACGCATTACCACAGACATTTCTAATCAACTTGATACTTAACATAAATAGTGTTTCAGATCCAGATAGAGTCTTATTCTAGGTTAAGAAGGATTTGGAAATGGACGACAGCCAAGCAAATTGCTTTTCAGACCAATGTCCTGCTTAACCGAGGCTTCAAAACTGGCCAAATATGCCATCAATAACTAGAGAATATGTGGTACAAAGAAACCCCGCATTTCACCCCCCATTAAGATGCATTTACCGTAGAACTCTAATGAAAACGTTCCTTCGGTTTATACACAGCACGATGCGCTAAATGTGTCTCTAGAGTGAAATACAGATTCCGAAATCATCACTAAACCCTGACCCTTCGTGCACTTTCCGCAAGCCATTCTCCGACCCACAACTGTTAAGAAGGATTTGGAAATGGACGACAGCCAAGCAAATTGCTTTTCAGACCAATGTCCTGCTTAACCGAGGCTTCAAAACTGGCCAAATATGCCATCAATAACTAGAGAATATGTGGTACAAAGAAACCCCGCATTTCACCCCCATTAAGATGCATTTACCGTAGAACTCTAATGAAAACGTTCCTTCGGTTTATACACAGCACGATGCGCTAAATGTGTCTCTAGAGTGAAATACAGATTCCGAAATCATCACTAAACCCTGACCCTTCGTGCACTTTCCGCAAGCCATTCTCCGACCCACAACTGCTTTGGCTCCGTTCCCCTGGCCGATACGGCAAATCAATCAGACTGATAACGAGAGCAGGGTGTGTGAGCAGGCCAAATGCAGTGACGTTTGGGGAACTCAACACCTTATGAAACCACCATTGCAGTCTCATAATGATCTCATGGAGGACAGTGTGATGAGCCCACAGAGAGGCTGTCTGAGCACTGAGCCATGCACGAGAGAGAAGGGGGAAAGAAAGAATGAAAGACGGTAGTAATGAGACATGGACTGATGGCCTGTGCAGAAATGTACAGATATAAGTGCCTGGTTTGGTGTAACGAGCGAACGGAATCTGGAAAACAGAACTTAGAGATCTTCAACAGTCAATCATTACTGTATCGCCACAAAAGGCAACACTGATTCAAAAACAAACGCTGCTAGATATTAAAAATGCACTGACAATGTTTCTAGATAAATAAAAATGCAGAAAGGCTGAATATCTTCTGATTGCTGAGGCAGAACAGTAAATCAAAAATGGAAAACTGAAGCACTTTGTTAGCGATTAATTAACAAACACATCCTACATGTATAAGATTCATCACATATTTACACATAAACATAACAAACATTCTACACAAAAATGATGTGAATGTCGGTTCTCATAGCCTCGTAGGCAAGTGTGCCAACGTATAAAACCTGTTGCGCTACAGGCGTTCCGAGTTCGAATCCCAACTCGAGGACCTTTCCTGATCTCTGCCCCTCTATTTCCTGCTTCGTTTCCTGTCTGCTCTCCACTATCCATAATAAAGGCAAAAAACTCCAAAAAAAAAAGAACTTATTTTCACTGTTTAAAATTAGATGCCATTTTAGTCAGTCTAAATCTGACTAAAATTAATATATGATGAAAATATTGATATTTACAGGATATTTTTGTCAAAAAACAAGGAAAAATTAACACTGCCTCAGACCTCAGCAACTTGTAAAGTTATTTTCGTATTATGCATTAAGATAAAATTAAGAGTGCAGTATTTCCAGCTCTGGAGATTTAGAAACCCTTTTCATGAAATTCCACAGATTTCTGCCTAAAATAAGCAGATAATGCAAACAAACAATAATTTACTAAAACTGAATAACCTAAAATGGCTGAACAGAAAGGAATACAGCATTAAAAACTCAACAAAGGGACCTAAGAAAGTTGATTTATATCCTAGGATTCCTTACCCTGAAAAGACCAGAATGGCTGGTCACCCGCACATGTTGAATTTTGGACACTGAACCTCAGCATACTGGTCCAAACCAGGCTTTTAGCTACCCTAACCAGCAGAGTAATTAGGCCTCAGTATTATATTATGCAATTATAATATTGTGCCTGGAATATCCCTTCCTCATCCAAGAGAAAGGTCAAACCGACAGGTGGGAGCATTTAGAGAAGACTTCAGGGGGAATATAACGTACTGAATTACAGGACTACTATGGACAGCCAGTCATATAAGAACAATACAGTATAGACACCGCAAAGCGTCGTTGATGTATGATCGACACATACTTTCTCCAAATCATTTTGTACTTAATCCAAGGAGATCTTTCAGCTAGGCCTTCATTTGTCAACTTGGAATTACACACCTCCTGCTCAAACGGCTCTGAAGACATATCTACGGTGAAAAACCTGCAATCACTATGGTTACTGGACCTGCCTGTCTGTCCAAATGCAATCATTTGTATTCATCCACATCGAACGGGTGCGGAAACCATATGAAGATGCCATCTGAACACATGAATAAGCAAACACTTCAGTCACTACACAGAATTCACGCAGAAATGTAACGGGAAACGGTGAAATCGCAGAGGCCTGGAGATACATTCCTGTGGTGGGTCATATTTAACAAGAACTCACTGCTGGAAAAAGGTATAAGAGAAAGTGGAAGAGAGAGAGAAAAAGGTATTCAGAGACAAAATATTGTCATTTTAAGTGCCGCATTATAGTGTCAAACATCAACATTACAATGTATTTATGACCATCATCAGCAAATATTTACATACAGCAGTGAATGTGCAATAACAGTATGCAATATTGCGTAAATGCGTTTTCATTGGATTTAGTGCTGAATAGCAATAACTTACATACAAATAGAAAAATATGATTATGTAAGGAATCCAAACCAAAATTAGTTAAAGTCCTCAGATCAATGGAAATATGGGATGATTTTTATATGCAGTGATTGGTCAAAACATAAACCATTACATATAACTGCCATAAAAAGCACAGAAGACATCACTGCATGCAACTGGAAACTATACGATACATTTATAATTGCCTAATAATTTGCATTTTCAAAAAAAAAATGAAAAGCAATGCAGAAGTGCGCAAAAATGAAAATACTCTGTGGGTGTATATACAAACCCAGCGTTTCCTTCCACATGTGCCACACACTTTCTGAAACTGCTGTAACTGAGGTTGGCTCGCAACAGGAATTTACCACCCAGTTTTTAAGCTACGAACACAAGACCAGACATCTGGGACCCCCTGGATGTCTCTCTAAAACAAACATAACAGACTAAATAGTCCAGATCGGATAGTGCAGATTAAACTAGGAGAATGGAAATATTCATTTGGCATCGCTGTTAAGTGTCATAGATTTTTTTGGCGAACATTTATTATTTCTAAATTTGTTCTTTTGTTCCATTTCTCTGTGTGAGAAAACTAGCCATCTATAGTCACACCCTAATGACTCACTCTAAGGATTTTAAAAAATGTTTTCCTTTCTCTGAGATGGACAGACATGTCAAGACAATAAGTGTCCCTGAATCTGCAGGCGAAAATATTCCTATATTCAAAAGAAAGAAATTAGCCTTTTCTCTTAGCCTTAATCTATTCTATGGTATTCCAGTTATTTTTACCCTCATTTATATGTACAGCAGAGACTTGTTGTGCCAATCTGTTTGATTTATAAACTTTTCAAAAACATATTTTTATGTGGGCGGTCCAAGTCAATAAAAGTAGTAAAACACAAATCCAAAATCCTTGGTAACTCTATTATTCTGTAGAGAGGGACGTGGAGAAACAGAGACGGAACTGATAGAACTGAATTGAAGACAGATACATGTAGCGAGAGAGAGGAAAGAGAGTTAACAAGTGATTGACAGTAGGAAAAAGTGGGATCCAAAGATGGACAGATAAAGAAGGAACGGAGTTCCGCACGTTGCAGACATCAAGCGAGGGCAATCTGTTCTACTGAGGTCTCATTCCAGCAGTTTGAAAGGTCGAGTTAAACTGATGAGTGTTTACCTCTCCCTAAATAAGAAACACAGGCACTGGGACAAAACAAAGTAAAACACTACGAGAAATATACAAACTGAGAAGCAAACTGATCTGAGGTATAATAGAGTAATCAAGTTTTTTATCCCCCTCCTGAATAAAAATGATGAGCGTGCCTTCAATAGAGTTCTTTAAATGAATTTCATCGCTAAAAAATGTGAGAAAGGTCCCCTCTAAGGCTTATCTAGTTTTCCAGTGATCGTCCTTATATCGCTGGACCTGTTAAATGATAATGCTTTAAGCATGAGATATGAGTGTTGCTTGTGTGCTTGCACAGATACATAGGCCAAAAAAGGTTTATGTATCCTGCATACGTATGCGTTAACTAATCTAACCTGCACTGTTTAAACAGCAGTTTGTGTGTTAGAGAAGTGAGCAATATGCTCCACAGCCTCCTTGACCGGTTTCAGAGAGTTCAGACAGGGCAACTCCTCTTGTCTTGTGCACGCTCTCCCACAAGCCTGGAGTCTGCAGGATTTTCTCCACCAGCTCCTCGAATGCACACTGAACACCATCTCTCGTCTTAGCACTGGCCTCTGCAAAGAGAGAAAATGTATTTCAAATAGAAATCTGTTGTAGCATTATATATGTCTTTACTATCAAATTAATGCAGCCTTGCTGAATAATCTCTTTCAAAACAAATACAAAACCAAAAAAGAATTGTAAGAATAGTGTGCTGCAAAAACATAAGAAACACTTGGTCTTTAATATTAAAAGTCAGGAGAAAGTAGAAGCGAATAGGAAACATTAAATCTGAAAAAAACAGCATTGGCCTCAAGCACACGGGCCGCAGCCATGGTGTCCATCTGCAGATTTCATTTGGTGTGAGGGCTTCACGGCTAATTCAGACAGATTGCTGCTTACATACCCACTAATGTGGCGTGTCACATGACTTACAAACCAAACCCACAGCGCAGAGGAATGCAGGACGTCACCCACAAATACACACACAGGGCTGTTACGATTACACAAGCTCAAAAATGAGAAATAAATCAGAACCATTGTAAAGTCTGACTTGAATTAACTGTCATAATAAATGAATGCTCAACTTATACAAATAATCCATCTCTCAATTAAATAGCATAATCTTTGTTTTTTAGCAAATGGGCACAAGTGTTTAAAAATAGTAGCATGTGAGTATTACGGCAGTTGAATAAACTAGCTTACGTCAAATGTCTGATTTTTCCATGTGTGAAGATGATGAATCTTGAAATGAAATATGGAAAATGAAACCAAAATAAAATGTCAGTGTATTCCTATTTAAAGCTTGTGTATTAGTGAATAATGAGGGCTCAAGAAACTCATCACAGGATGAAGGGAACATCTTAGTGATTACTCACCTATGAAAAGCATGGAATGTTTTCTAGCGAACTTCAGACCCTCTTCTCGCTCTAGCTCACGGTCTTCCTACACAGACAGAGAAAAACAGCTCAGAATTAGACATCATTTTCATTAGAGTTACGAATACAGAACATTTTTCCATGTCTACATCAGCATTATGTATTTAACAATCCAGAATAACTACTATTTTTTGTAGATATGTATAGAGCAGTGTAGAGATGAAGCTGAAAAAGCAAACAGAGAGCATATCTGTCTATGTCAGGCTTTGGAAACTGGGTCCAGGCAGGTGTTTTAAAGACAAAAGGAAATATATGACAAAGAGTGCAAAGGCTCTGCTGGACTTGTACAGCTTTAAAAAAATAATAAAAAAACATTAAGTGCATTAAATGTAACTTACCTTATCGATTTTGTTTCCCACCAGCATTTTGACAAGATCATTTCTTGTACAGTATGTATCCAGCTCATTCAACCAGTTATCCAGCTTAGCAAAGGTTTCTCGCCTAGTGACATCATACACTAAAAAGACATTTAAAAACTACATTTTTAATTAGACGATAGACAGTTAGACTTATCAAATTAGCCTAAATCAGACAAATATAACTATAAATATAACATTTGGTGTTTTATACACTATTCCAGTGTATATTCATGCTAGATACACAAACACTTTTCTACAGCGGTACAGCTTGTTCATGTTTTTTAATAGTATATAGTAGTGAAAAAACGGTTTATACTCGCTTACCCAGAATGACACCCTGAGCTCCTCTGTAGTAACTGGGTGTTAAAGTTCGAAAACGTTCCTGACCTGCGGTGTCCTTTAAACACGAAACAAAACCAAGGGAAATTGTGTTAAATAACGTAACAATGAATATTTTGAATTATAAAGACGTTACAAAAGAGCCGCCTGCCTTCAGGAAAAAAGGAAGGAACAACACTGCCATCTTGTGTTATATTAGTGAAACACAGTCAAAAGTTTATACAAGCATTATCTGTCTCATACAGTCATGTCCAAACTAAGACATGATTTCCCTGGAAACTAAATAATAAATAGTTAACCTTTGCAAAACATAAATCTGTGCCACTCTAAATGTAGGGATAAAATATGATTGACTGCTCACCCAGATTGCTAGCTTTGCTTTGTTTCCATCCACAGCCAGGGTTTTCACCTTGAAATCCACACCTTAATGGAAATAAATTATGTGTTTAGTACATATAGAACATCATATTAGCTTTCATTGTTTTAAATTTACATTTAATCATTTAGCAGACGCTTTTATCCAAAGCGGTTTACAAATGATAACAATGGATGCAATCAAACCAACAAAAGAGTAACATTATGTAAGTGCTTAGTCTAACAAAGTACATGTAGCAAGGTTTTTTTTATTAAATAATAACTAAAAAGAATAAAAGTAGATAGAATAGAAATAGAATAGAGAGTGCTTGTTTTAGAGGGTCAAGTGTAGATGCAAGAGTTTTATATACAGCTAGTTATAAATGTACTGTGACCAAACCCTAGCCTTAACTGAAAACATTCTGCATTTTTACAACATTAAAAAAAAAAACTTTATTTACAATTTTTACAAATGAGGACATCCTCAAAAGAAGGGTTTGGGAGGTTTTGTCAGGTTTACACTGGGTACAAATATGGTTACAAAATTAGTCCCCAAAAAATGGTTACAACAGACAAACACATACAAACACTAGCAAATGTAAATAATCAGGTGGAATATTCAAAAAAAGATTCACAAGCATATATGGAAATACAGTCTAGATGTTTTATGAGGATTATGATAAAACCATTCATATATAGCGAGACAGATTTAATTTTTGATGGACCCAGATATTTGTCAGGCAACAAGCCCAGAGCGACTAAAGTTAGAAAGACCAGAATTTATAGCTGAATGGGGAATTGTGGGTTTATTACGTACAGATAAAAAGAAAATAGGACGACTCAACCACCTGTCTCATCACTCAGCAAAGCCACATCAATTACAAACATAAGTGATTTACATTCATAAAAGAAAAATGAAAGTATGTGTAAAGATGACAGGGGAATCAATCTCTCAGCACTCTGTGAATGAAAGATCAGGAGGCATGAAGTACTCCTGAATTTTAACACAGCACGGACAGATTTACCAGAGGAAGCCAAAGAAGGAGATCTGGACTTGTTTGGTTTGGATTGGGGGGCTTTGAAAAGAAAACGGCGGTCACATCACAACACGTCAACCTAAATGTCAAAGTAACAGCCACTGCTTTGAAGTTTGAACAACAAATTAACTTCCACAACATAGAGTATAAGGTAAGGTAACACTTTATATTAAGGACCAGCTCTCACTATTAACTAGTTGCTTATTACTAACACATCGGCTGTTTATTCGTATATATAAAACACATATTAATGCCTTCATCTGCATGACCATATTTTTGATCCCTTAATCCTACACCATACCTAAAATTAACAACTACCTTACAAACCATTAATAAGCAGCAAATTTACAGTTAATGTAGTTAATAGTTAGTTAATAGTGACAATTGGTCCCCAGACTAAAGTGTGACCAGATTATACATTGATCTCCACTGTAAAGACACTAGTGAAGAAGTGCAGCTGTTAAACAGGATTTGACATGGATAAATATACTTTTCAAAATTTAAAATTTCACTTATAGGTCCAGAATTTCAACAATGCAAGTAAAGCTGTTTTTCAAGTAAGACCAGCACTAGAGAAGCATGTGTGATTTACGTCAATGTGTCCTGCGATGGTTAGGTTTCTGTGCTCATTACATTATAAAGGCACATAATTAAACAAACTTAAAAACCAAGAAACTTCTCATGCTCACACAACAAGCAATCTGCGATCTGCAAACAATTTATAACCCATATACAGAACTAGATGGCAATCAAAACCTGTTAATCAATATATAATACTGTACTTTGTAATATACTGTATATATAAGCCTGTTTTTACATGTCAGTTATCAGAAACTCAAAACACAACTGTTTTAGCTACAAAGGATGAGAATACTGCTGTGTTTAAACCTGATTTTACATATTTTGGACCTCTATCAACATTACCTTAGTCATATGATTTTACAGACTTACCAATTGTTGCACCAATTTCTGGATCAAATGTATCATCTGTAAATCTCAAAAGAAGACTAAGAAAAAGGGGAAAGAAAGGTGAATCAGAGACTTTCCTTCTTACTAGCAAATTGACACAAACACACATCTGCAAATTTGTTATTTGTGGTATGGGAATTTGAGAAGACTGAATTCACAAACATTCAGTGGTTCCTATCTAAAGCGAGGTCAGGTTGCTTTAATATAAGCAGCTGTGCTGTTGTTGTTGTTCCATCAGATGACATCTGTAAACTTTAAGTATATTAAATCTCATACCTGGATTTGCCCACTCCACTTTCTCCGATGATCAGTATTTTCAGAGTGGTCAAAATATCCTCATTCATGTTTTCCGAAATATGCCACTATGAGCAAAAAAAATACTGTCGATATGAATACAAATATAGAAAATGGAAAAGCACAACTACTATTCGAGGGCCAAACGTTTCTCTCTTCTTCGGTAAAATCTATCGAGGGTGGTAAACATCTGAAAAACACGACTCTGCCATCTAGCGGAGTTTATAATAATCGTATAATAATTGTTTATCTTCATGCTAGACCCACAAACGGAAACCATTCAAAGAAATGCCCTTACAATACATTTTAAAATCTTTATTTAAAAACAACTCTGATTAAGCCATCTTGACTAGTGATGAGAAAAGTAACAGATACCACGTGACAACCCCATCTAAAAAGTGAGAAATCTGAATAATCTGATTGTTTTATCTTCGTACACATGAGGTCGCCAGTGTTCTGTGTGAGTCACTGAATTTAATAACACTAGCAATTCTTTGAGTGGGATATGTTAGCCAGATTTAAAGGAAACTTTCCATCTCTTTAATAAGATTCTTTGGCTAGATTTATGTGAAACAAAATCTGAACAAAATTCAGGCCCTGTTAATTTTTAGTGTGCAATATAATAGTAAACTGCTGGAGTGAAACATAAGAGGGTCATTGTGATTGTGGATCATTATAGTCTCACAAAAGAAATGTTGCCAGTTATGGGCTATCGCGCATTGTAATAATACACAGATTGGAAGACACAAGCAATTTTTAAAGCAGTTTAATTATTTCTATGTACAGTCCTTTTGTTGTCAAGTTGACAACAGTCATCAGCAAAATAAAACAGAGTAATATCCATAAGGTGCAAAACAAACAATGGTGTCTTTGCTCCCACCCTCAAAGCAAAATGACATTTAAAGCAAAGTTTTTCACATTCCACATTCCTTTACTTTTGCAAAGTGAGGCTGAAAGCTGACTCAATCTAAAGGTTTTATTTTACTTTGTCAAATCAGTAAATCACTTTGACTACAGAATAAGCAGCTGTGCAGAAAGACTGAAGCATCTCATCTACTTTGAGCTGGAGACAAAGGTGACTTAATGTTGTCCTTTACAAATATACTGATACCAAACATTCATCCAGTGCCGACTTTTACAAAATGACTGGACAAAAAAAAAAAAAAGAAGCTCTGACCCAAGCAGAAAAGATTTATATTTACACAGCACCCTGCGTGTAGCGTAGCTTGAAAATGTGTAGCTTCAAATCAAAAACCAAACTTCACTGCACAATAAACAAAGAGTTATAAATGTGCCTCAAACATTAATACAAAAGTCGGTCTAAATTAAGCACCAAGAGTTTAAGCATTGCTTAAAAGCACCATTTTCAGTACATCAGGTGGCTGGACTTTGAGTGGTCAAAACAAAGCAGATTACAGCCTTTTACAAAATGACTGGAAAAAAAAAAAAAAAAGAAGCTCTGACCCAAGCAGAAAAGATTTATATTTACACAGCACCCTGCGTGTAGCGTAGCTTGAAAATGTGTAGCTTCAAATCAAAAACCAAACTTCACTGCACAATAAACAAAGAGTTATAAATGTGCCTCAAACATTAATACAAAAGTCGGTCTAAATTAAGCACCAAGAGTTTAAGCATTGCTTAAAAGCACCATTTTCAGTACATCAGGTGGCTGGACTTTGAGTGGTCAAAACAAAGCAGATTACAGCCTGAACTTTTCTTTTGTTCGCAAACGGATTACTTGCAAGCTCTTACACCTGCACATGCACAGCTTAAGACTGCAAACTATAATGAAACTTCACATATACCCGCTGTGTTATTTGTGTTAGCATACAGTACATGTAGAACTGTCAGTGTATGATGCATTGCAGTGTTCTGGTGTTTCAGCTGTTTCAGTGCAGTGGTTGCAGTGTGTTCGGCGGAGGGGAAGTGTAGCGGTACTTTCAGGCCCAGTTTCCAGAGCAGTCAGCCAGCAGAGGACCACACCCTGGCCTGAGCTGCCCTATCCCCATGGGCTGCTCTCACCATAGCCAAAAGTTTGGCCAGACCACTGGATAGAAAATAATGGGCCAGACATCGAGGAGGAGGAGAGGCTGGTAAAATACTTTCATACAGATTACACTTTTTCTGTAAAGAACAAGCTTTGAATGATCACATTCTGTAATTTACATTTATCTTAAGACGGATATCCCGAAGCTGCTCTCTACAACTAGTGTGAAGCCCAATGAAAGGCATAACTAAACATCAACAGACAAACACAGACTGGCTTATATTTATTTAAACATTTACAAATAAATACTTGGAAGATTTTGTCTTCCATTAATGGCTTCTTGTTGAAGAAAGAAAAAGACTTTATAGACTTTTAAGTGATTACCGATTGAGACCAGTGAGTTTTGCGCACAATATATTTAGATTGTAAATTGTGGACCATAATCTGAGATGTTCTGTGTTCATGATAACATAAAATCATAATAATAATTCTCTTTCCTCTAGTGTTACACTACCATTCAACAGTTTGGGGTCTGTTATGCTCACCAAGGCTGCATTTATTTGATTAGAAATGGAGAAAAACAGTAACATTGTGAAATATTAGTACAATTTAAAATAACTGCTTTCTGTTTTAATATATTTTAATTCCAGTGATGGCAAAGCGGAATATTTTGCAGCCATTACTCCAGTCTTCAGGAATCTGATTTGATTTGACACTCAAGAAACATCTTTTGTTATTATTATAAATGCTGAAAACAGTTGTGCTGCTGAATATTTTTGTGGAAGCCATGCTACATTTTTTCAGGATTCCTTAATGAACAAAGTTCAAAAGAACAGCATTAATCTGAAATAAATATTTTGTCTTTGCTGTCACTTTCATGCATTTCATGCATCCTTGCTGAATAAAAGTATCAATTCCTAAAAAAAATTATACTGACCCCAAAATGGTATATTGAACGGTAGTGTATATAAATTTGGTTTTGTGGCATTACTGTTGGCCTCTATATGACAAATTGCTTGAGTTTTCCTCATTTGTAAGTCACTTTATAGTCAGATCATGATCCAGGGATAGTGCTATAATGATAAACAGCACCGGGCACCAGACTCAGTCAAGGTCTTCCAGAATTAATTCTGGAAAATAGTGTGTCTATGGTTCAGTCAATTCAATTTCAACATCACTCATATATGGACAAAAATAAATAGATACAGCGAAAATGAAAAGTTAGTGGAAAAGAACTTATGTGCCAGACTTCATCTCCCATTCCTGCAAAAAAAAAAAAAAAAAAACTGCAAAAAAAAAAAAAAAAAAAAAAGAACAGAATGAACACAGGGGAAAATATGCACTGTAGTGTAAACATCTTAAAGTAAATGCAACTTTAGGATCATGCTTTTACATAAGACCCAGCATATGTTACCTGCTATTAATATCTAGTGTGATGAAGAAAATAAGTGTCGTGTGGTTACTGACCTTGGCTTTCCTGAGGACGTGTCCTCGCACAGGTGAGGCTTTCTGTTGTGTCTGACGCCGCAGCAGAGATGCACTGTTGACTGGTAGAGAGCAGGTCTCAGTGTCACTGGTGTCACAACTGGAAATGGGTGAGTTGTCCACCGTTCGCCTCATTAGCACTGGAGACTAAAAACAAACGAGACACATTTTGATACCTGCTTTTCTTTTATCATTTAAAAATGAAAGTGACACAACCCTACAGTTAGTATTACATCATGTCTATGTTAGAGAAATTGTTGCTGTTCTTCCAGACCTGTGGGCTGGAGCTGCCCGTTTTGGGTTCAATGGTCAGGCCCAGGGTGACGCCTCCGTTCAAGGCTTTCTTCAGACTCTCTTTCACCTCCGTCAGCTCCAGTTCCAGATTGACTCGTTCTTCCTCTTTTAGTTTGCATTCATCCTCCACTTTCTTAAGTCTCTCTGTCAAAGATGCCTGAGAGCGCTTACCTGGATGAAAAAAACACCGGGAGAGGTTATAACTGTCATTTTTCAGGATCCTTTAATGAATAGAAAGCTTAAAAAACATCATTTATTTGAAACAGAAAACTTTAGTAACATTATAAATGTCCTGTTACAATTTGATCAATTTATTCTTGCTTAATGTAAGTATTTATAACCTCAAACCTTTTAATGCTATTTTTTTTTCTTATTTGTCATTGACACTTACAGATTCAATCAAACTTGAATCCCATTGACATCCTCACCTGTGTTGTTCTCTATAGCAGTGCGGAGGTCCTTCCTGTCTTTTTTCAGCTGGGTCAGGCGGTTTCGAATTTCCTGCTTCCTCTTCATCAGCTCCTCCTCTTTCGTTTGGAGTTTTTTGGCATCTGCCTCCACTCTGTTTTTCCCGTACTTATACTGATCCACACCTGTGAAGGTTAATGATGCATTATAATCAAAGTAAACCATCGTTAGAAAATCTTTCCATTTTTAACTTTTGGATTCAGTCTTTTCATCGCATTAAAGGCCTCTGAGACCACAAACGCAGATTAAAAGGCAGACAGAATATACAGTATACCACATCCAAATATTTGCAAGTCCACATAAATGGCCACTGGATGGTTAGGATGTCTGTGACTGACTGACTGACTGCCTGTCTGAAACAGAATTTGGGGTGATTGAGTTTATAAAGGAGCATGTCAACAGATCCACTGCTGTCTAACAGCACTGCAATTTCCACATACCGGCATTCTCCACAAATCTGTGTGGCTTCTTTTTCCTTGAAATAAATTAGTGGTGTAATAGCTAGGATAATGGATGCAGACTTAATGTCTGCTTAGTTTAGTTTCAGCCGTACGTCCACTTTAAAAAAAAAAAAATTAAAGACTCATTTTGAGATTATCAGATGTGCTTTTATATGTTACAATCTCTTACTAGAGTTGTTGCGTTTCACTGGAACAGTGCTGCTGATTCCATTGGCCTTTTTGGGCTGGTTCTTGTCCAACTTCTGCTTTGCAGCGAACCCATTGGTGGTCAGGCCTTTCTTTCCCTTGAGCTGATTGGTTGAAAGAAACATGTACAAAAAAGTTGAAACTGATATGTGGGCTACTAACAAACATCTGATATTTAAAGACTCTGATTTCGCTGTTAACACCTGTTACATTTTAAGGGTGTGATTTGTGATTTAGTTCTAAGATTAGCACTTCATACAAATAATTTCACGTAGGTTAGATCTGCAAACCACATCTACTAAACCACACATGTTGCTTGAGGGGACATTTTCTTTTAGTTATACTATAGCTGGCAACAAACCTTTTTTCTATCTTTGGCCTATAAAATGTAACCCAGAGTGAACTAAGGCTTCAGTAAATCCATTCAAGGCCACGGCCACACAGACATGGATATTATATAGATCAAAAGCATTCATTTCTGGAGCTGGGTGGTCCACAATGCATGCACTGTGCTGTGTGTTTATTTCCATTCTGTGTTTGTTAATATTAACTGAAAATACAAATCTGATACAGATATCCATTGTTTGAGATTTACTGTGTTAGCCTTGGTTAGTCACCTGGTTAGTGTTAGTATTAGCAGCTGAGGGAGAGGAGGAAGAGGACAGAGATTTGGTGGAGAGCGGTGTGTTGTAATGCCCTGTGGAAGATGACTGCGAGCGGATGGATTTGGTAGAGTAGCGGGCTGCTAGTTTGGGGGAGGGCATGTTTTCATAAAGATCTGTATTCTCATAATGAGACTCTTCTTTCCACCGACGGTCCCCTGAAGCTGGGGAGGAGTAGTGCGCATCTGGTACCTTCCGTATCGCAAGCGTGCAAGCAAGAGAAGAGCGATTAGAAAAGAAAAAGTGGATCAGGGACAGAGAGGAGTTAGGCAGGATCAGAAAAGAAGGTGAGTATTTAATGGGTTTAAAGTTTGTTCATTTGCTTACCGATCCATTGATGCAGGGCACATCATCATAATGCAGAGCGACCCCTGTGGGACAGGCGTAACCATTGACTGGGTTATCCAAGTACGGGTTTGGAGAAACTGCACGCTTACTGGTGAAACTGTGAACATATACATATATTCATTACTACACATACAAATGTCATAAAGAGAACTTAAACTCTCACTTTAAACAGTAGTGTTGGGAAAGATACTTCAAAACTAGTTAGCTATACTAGAAGGCATTAACAATCAGTAGCTAATTATTAAAAGGGGCAAGTTTGGGGTCACTAAGTTCTTTTATGTTTTTGAAGAAGCCATTTATAGATGTATTTGATCAAAAAAAGCAGTAAAACTGTAATATTGTGAAGTAGTATTACAATGTAAAATAACTGTTAATACATTTTAAAATGTCATTTGATTTTTGTGATGGCAAAGCTACATTTTCAGCAGCCATTACTGCTCAATAAACTTTTCTTATTATTACTGTATCTATGTTGAAAACAGTTGCTGCTTAATATGTTTGTGGAAACAGTGATACATTTTTTCACTGTTTATTAATATAAAGTTTAAAAAAAAAAGGAACAGCATTTATTTAAAACAGAAATATCTTGTAGCATTAGAAATGTCTTTACTGTCACCTTTGATCAATTTAATGCATACTTGCCGAATAAAAGTATACATTTCTTGGAAAAAAATCTTACTGACCTCCACTTTTCAATGGTACTATACAAATATATAAAATAATTAGTAAATGTATTTAAAATAATAAATATATAACAAAAAAATAAAAGTAGTGAATACAAATTGTATAATTTAATGACCGATAAAAACAATGAGAATTTTTTGAATAACCTCAATTACAAATACAAGTTACAGATAAATAGATAGAATATAACTACTATACAACTATAATATTGTTTTCTTTTTATTTATTATATAATAATAAAAAAAAAACTTGCTACGTGTACTGCGTTAGGCCAACTGTGACTTGTCATAGCACTTGCATATCATTGCTCTTTTGTTGATTCTGATTGCTTCCAAAGTCGCTTTGGATTAAAGTGTTTGCTAAATGACTACATGTAAATGTAATATAATATATAACATTGTATTAAATAGCATATTAAATAAAATATTATATAACATTAAATTAATTGTATAAATATTTAATATTTTTATTTTTGTGCATTAAATATACTGTTGAACAGCAGTGTTAGGTTAAACATATATTTAAATATTTATAAATATGAAGATGCAAATGCAGTGCAGGAAACTTTTAATTTAATTTAAATTTATTCAAGAAAAAGTGGTAACATTTTATTTTAAGGACCAGTTCTCACTATTAACTAGTTGCTTAGTAGCATGCCTATTACTAGCATATTGGCTGTTTATTAGTACTTATAAAGCACATACTAATGCCTTATTCTGCATGATCATATTTTAGATCCCTTAATCCTACCCCATACCTAAACTTAACAACTACCATACTAACTATTAATAAGCAGCAAATAAGGAGGCTGTTCAGGGAAATCTACGTGTTCCCTATTCTAAAGTGTTACCGAAAAAGTTACTGGCATGCTAATAAAACATTTTTTAGCAGTACTGGGTTCTCACCAAAACGACTGCTTGGCCAGCTGAATGACATTAGCAGTGGTTTCGACGTCAATGTAATCGTAGTGCAGTGCAGCAGGATCTGTTGTGGAGCCCGTTTCGGCCAGCAAGACCCCCAGCCACCTTCCCATACTCTCAGAGGAGGAGGCCTGACAGGAAAAAGAGTGAGGAAAGATGCAATGAATGAGTGTCAGTGGAATATGAGACAAATAAAGCACTAATCTATGCACTCTCTGCGAATCCACTCTACACATGATACAGCAGTGACATCATTACGAAAGCAAGCCAACCAAACCATCCATCTAATCCCTGCCCTGAGGTCCTGTCTCAGACACATTAATTGCCCCGCAAGAGCTGAGGGACTTGGCACGTACCTCCAGAACAGCCACCTCCTGTCCGTTGCGCAGCAGACGGAAGGCAAAGGGATGTTTGGAGTCCAGCCCTGGAATGACCTCACACCCCCGCAGCGGCAGAGAGGCCATGTGTGTCTTCAGATCTGCCCGGTCCTTGTGCAGCAACAGTTGGTTGTCTTTTAGCTGGCACCAGCGCTCTCTCCAGCGGTTATTGGACAGCACATTCAGATAGCCTGTTAATGAAGGGTTGGGCCAACAGACACACACACAAGCAGAATGTAAAATGTTGAAGATAGAGTTGGGGGAAGAATTATTTAAAAATGTTGCCAGTAATTTATATTTTCAGTTCAGTTTTTAAGGTTAATATTTTGGGGGAAAAGAAGAATTTTCTATTTTAATATATTTAAAAATGTAATTTATTGATGAAAAAGCAGAATTTTAGCAGCCATTACTCCAGTCTTCAGTGTCACATCCTTCAGAAATCATTCTAATATGCTGATTTGCTGCTCAAGAAATATTTCGTATTACTATCAATGTTAAAAACGGATTAATATTTTTGTGGAAACAGTGATACATATATTTTCAGGATAATTTGATGAATAGAAGTTTCAAAAGAACAGCATTTATTTGAAATATAATTTTTTTTAACATTATAGATTTTGTTACTGTACAGGACAATCTAAAATGTATGCCTAATAGTAAATTTGGTTATAAATCTGATCAATTTAATGCATCCTTGCTGATTAAACAGTAGTATATTTGTGCAAAGCACCAAGTCCTATAGAGATAAAACAAGTGAGTAAAATTTTGCAATACATCACAGTTTTAAAAAACTATACAGATAAACAAAGAATAACAATATTATAAAACTGTTAGCCCATATTGATGTAGTATCACATTGTCAGGTCACTACTGCTGCTACTTTGGTTATTTAATAAACTGACATTACATTATCTAACTTCAGTGATTTTCTGAATTTTTTGAATCAGGACTGACAATTGAATTTTGAGATCGTAAAAATATTAACAGATCTACAGTCAACAACTAGAATGCTTCAGTATCATACTTCAGGGGCTATCAATCACTAATGTTAGGACTCTCGTGTTATGAAAATGGCAAAAATCGAGGTATTGTGTGGCTGGAGAGCAAGACAATCCTTTGTTTGGGTAATGTGTTTAAGAGGTGGAGAAAGAAAAAACCTAGACGGAAAAAAACTACACAGCAACTAGTTTTGGCAGCATATCTGAGAGCATGAAAACAATGGGAGCTGCCCAAAACAGATAAAACTAAATCCTGAAATATGCAATTCAAAGTCTTGATATTTACTACCTTTATCTGTCACTATGGATATTACAGACATTATTTAGTGACTGACTTCAGTTAGCTGGTCATAAAGACATTATTACCGAAAAAGTTACTGGCATGCTAATAAAACATTTTTTAGCAGTACTGGGTTCTCACCAAAACGACTGCTTGGCCAGCTGAATGACATTAGCAGTGGTTTCGACGTCAATGTAATCGTAGTGCAGTGCAGCAGGATCTGTTGTGGAGCCCGTTTCGGCCAGCAAGACCCCCAGCCACCTTCCCATACTCTCAGAGGAGGAGGCCTGACAGGAAAAAGAGTGAGGAAAGATGCAATGAATGAGTGTCAGTGGAATATGAGACAAATAAAGCACTAATCTATGCACTCTCTGCGAATCCACTCTACACATGATACAGCAGTGACATCATTACGAAAGCAAGCCAACCAAACCATCCATCTAATCCCTGCCCTGAGGTCCTGTCTCAGACACATTAATTGCCCCGCAAGAGCTGAGGGACTTGGCACGTACCTCCAGAACAGCCACCTCCTGTCCATTACGCAGCAGACGGAAGGCAAAGGGATGTTTGGAGTCCAGCCCTGGAATGACCTCACACCCCCGCAGCGGCAGAGAGGCCATGTGTGTCTTCAGATCTGCCCGGTCCTTGTGCAGCAACAGCTGGTTGTCTTTAAGCTGGCACCAGCGCTCTCTCCAGCGGTTATTGGACAGCACGTTCAGATAGCCTGTTAATGTAGGATTGGGCCGAGAGATTGATATTACAGCCAACAGACAGACCCACAAGTAAAAGGGTCGATGATAGGGTTGGGGGAAGAATCATTTAAAAATTTTGCCAATCATTTATATTTTTTTCATGTTAATATTTAAAATTTTCTATTTAAATATTTTAAATATGTAATTTATTCCTGTGATAGAAAAGCTCATTTTTCAGCAGCCATTACTCCAGTCTTCAGAGTCACATGATCCTTCAGAAATCATTCTAATGATTTGGTGTTCAAAAAACATTTCTTATTATTATCTATGTTGAAAACTGTTTAAAACTGCTTAATATTTTTTTAGGAAACAGCGATACATATATTTTCAGGCTTACGCGATGAATTGAAAATGCAAAAGAACAGCATTTATTTCAAATAGAAAACTTTTTTAACATTATAGATTTTGTTACTGTTACTTTTGATCAATTTAATGCAATCAATTCAATCCTTGCTGATTTTTAAACAGTAGTGTATTTGCGCAAAGCACAATGGAGATAAAACAAATTGAAATACATCACAGTTAAATAAAAACAACTATATAGATAAACAGAAAGCCCATATTGATGTAGTATCTATCGCATCATATGACCCCTTTAAGTAAAGATCATGTTCCATGAAAATACTTTGTAAATTTCCTACCATAACTATATCAAAACTTAATTTTTGATTAGTAATATGCATTGCTAAGTACTTCATTTGGACAACTTTAAAGGCGATTTTCTCAATATTTTGATTTTTTTTGCACCCTCAGATTCCAGATTTTCAAATAGTTGTATCTTGGCCAAATATTGTCCTAACCTAACAAACCATACATCAATGGAAAGCTTATTTATTCAACTTTCAGATGACCCTTATTACTGTTTTTTTGGTCCAAGGTCACATATTGTCCGGTCCTTGCTTCTGCTACTTTGGTTATTAAATAGACATTGCATTATCTAACTAAAGTGATTTCCTGAATTTTTACGACTGACAATCGAATTTTGAGATAAAAATATTAACAGAACCATAGCCAGCAAATTGAATGCTTCATTAACATGATTCACAGGCTGTCAATCACTAATGTTAGGACTATCAACCTCTCTCAGGTGATGACAATGACAAAAATCTAGGTATTATGTGGTTGAAGAGCAAGACAATCCTTTGTTTGGGTAATGCGTTTAGGTGGCGGAAAAAACCTAGATGGAAAAAACTAGACAGAGTTTTGGCTGCATATCTGAGAGGATGAAAACAATGGGAGCTGCCCAAAACAGATAAAACCAAATCCTGAAATATGCAATAAAAAAGCCTTGATATTTACTACCTTTATCTGTCACTATAGATATTACAGATATTATTTAGTGACTGATTTCAGTTACTTGTTCATACAGGCATTATTCTACCTGTTCCTGTATGTATAGGACAATCTAAAATTAGTACTTTTATTCAACAAGGATGACATTTCAAAATACATTAAAATAAAAACTATTTCACAATATTAATGTTAAAATCTTACCGTCCCCAAACGTTTGAATGGTAATGTATATCAAAATGGTATTGTAAGCGCTCACCACACGTTGGGACATCCTCCTCCGCCGATGAGGTCTGTTCATCTGTAGATGGTTTTTTCTTGCCCAGGCTTATGATTTTAGTGATTTTCTTTCCAGTCACACGTCCCACGGTGCCTTTCTGCTCTGATTTAGAGTTCTTCTTGCCTTTGGCTGCAAAAAAAGGCAAATGAGTGTCAGAGTGTGAAATATATGTATGGGATTTTATAAAGTAATATATTATACAGATATGCTAGTTATCTAGAAAACCATTGGTGTTGCAACTATAACAAGGGGTGGGTTTGGAAAATATTTTGTTTGTGGGGTGGATTTGGTGGGAAAAGATTGAATTATGGTAAATGACAAACGGCAATCTGTTCATTTTAAAACGTTAGTAATTTAGGCCAGAGAGTAAGAGGCTGAACTGACAATGACAGGACACGTCTTCAGACTTTTAATCCAAATCCTAAACAGTGCGTGAAACCAACTTCGTTCTTCTCCAAGTTTTTCGGATACTTTTATCTGAGGAGTGTGGTCTGTGGTTAATGGTATTGTAAGAAACAAAAGATCTAGAAAAAACAAACTTAAACATTGAAAGTAAAAGGACACACTGTGGGAAACCGTTCAGGTCACATCCTATTCCAAACCAATGGTGGACAATGTGAGCAAACTAGCAGTTTGGGATCTGGACTGGGTTAAAGTGTGTAAGAAGCTACAGCACAACAAATTACAGGCTTTTCTCCTTCTCAAAAGGCCTACTACAAAAGCAGGTCACAAGCACAAAGAAAACATATAAAGATACAGTGAAACTCTTGCTCTTCTGACCTGTCTTGGTCCAAGCTTCACTGCAGAAGATTACATCTTAGTTGGCGACTCATTTAATTAAAGCTAAGCCCATCTGAACCCAGAGTCCTCTAAAGTTTCTCTGTCTCTGCACAGCAGCCTCAGGCATGAGGCAAAACCCAGAGCCACAGATGCAAAAACCATTGGCGCTTAAAGGACCTATACAGACATAGTTCTTCATTTTATCATGAGGTAAAATTCTGCGATCAGGCTAATATGATTTCACAGCGTCTCAGCAGTTACGACAGCTGGAAAGAATATGACGAATCTGATTAATCTGCTTGGTTCTTTTAAATTTGTCTTCCATCCTTCATTAAAGAAGTGCAGTAGATGGCTGCTGGTGTGGTGTAAGGATATCTAAGGTGCTATCAGACAGAGACAGAGGAGATCAGATAGAAATGGTTCATGTTTCACCTGCCAAGAAATGCTTCCCTAAATATTTTGTAAAAAAAAAAAGAAAAGAAAAGAACTTTCTCAATACCTTTCCATAACCTTACACTTTTACAGGAATTATTATAAGACATCAGCCTTTGTTTATCCGTAGGTTTATCAGAGGTCAGCTGCCATAACTCATGTGAAAACAGCACAGCAGTTACTGCGGCTTGTGGCCGTGATGCTGAGCTATCAATCATACGGGTTTGCAGATGCACAAGTTTTGGATTCCACTCAAATTAGGCAATTCTTCACCAACACGTCTGAGGCAAGGCAGTCTCAAATTGAAAAAAAAGAAACATTTCCACAGACCTGAAACAGATGACCCGAAAAGTTCAATCCCAGATCGAGACAGCGTGGTGTAAATACTAGATAAATAATCCTATTAGATTATTTAAGAAGGATCTCCTTGCCCTGACTTAGCCGTTGTTCAAACAATGGAATTGTTCAAGTCAAATAAACATCCACTTTATGGGATTAAATTTGTTCTGTTTTTTGCTCTGTTGTTTTACCAAGTTTGTTTTCTTAACCAAAAAGTTAATTTCATGGATTAAAACACTAACAAATGTTTGGGTTTCCGAGCACAATACAGCAGTCAAAAACAACTGACAAATGATTGACAAACGGATGCTGAAAATGTTTATTATTATTCAATTTCACTGAATCAACTTATCAACTACTAATTAAACACTGAATCAAATATTTTAGACAGACAGCTATAGATAGATTAGCTAGCTGCTTACCACTTTTTACAGTGTATGCCACAAAATACCCTTCCTTTATATAAAGTAACCCTACATCTGTCGTCTCCAATGATATGGACCAAAAAAAGGACTGAACATAAAAACTCACCTGGATCTTTGCCATCTGAGATGCCATTGTCATGACAAGGCTCTCCATCTGAATTGGGCCGATCGCAGGACAGCTTCTGCAAAACAAGAGTTAGGTTACAGGTATGCTTGCAGTTACAGAGAAAACACGCATTTCAGCAGAAGAATGAACACTCAACGAGACAAATAACAGTGGATTCATTGTTAAATTTAATGATAAATAGTTTATAGACAGACACATTAAATACATACACACAAAGAGTGTAGAAAACTAAAGACCATACACTTAAACCTCTGCAGTCTACCCAAACAAACCTCGAAGCGCATCTGTTTTGCATTAAGTGTGAATAATTAGACTAGGCTCATGCATGCTGTGCCAGTTTAAGAGGTTTGACATTAAACCCCCTTTAGATCTGTCCTAAAAACAGCACACACACATAAACAAGTGCAACATGCGCACGCAGCAAAAATAATGTTGCAGCATAGTGCATATTAAAGAATGTGTTCTAAAAAATGATAAGATCACAGTTCCTCCCACACCTATTTAGCCTCGCCAGCAACACACATCCGTGGCAAGATGGAATTTGGTACGCATATGCTTTTATAGCCCTCCATGCCCTGGCAGCAGAGCCACTGTGCAGGAACACAGAGAGGAGGCGCCTGTGCAGGGTATTGAGGTGTGGTGAAGCTGGCAAGCATGCAAACCACCACACAGTCTCACAATCCTGCATGTAGGTAGACCAGCATGTACTCTGCAGGCATAGTAAATCCACACACCCACAACCACCCACACATACACACACACAAAGTACTATACATAAATAGAATTATGAATTTGCACCTTTTCCAGCTCTGCTTTGTGAACAGGGGAACCAGAGCCAGCTCCGTCACAGTCCACCACTCCATTTCCATTTGAGCAGACTTCCTTCATCACCTTAAAGAGACCACAGAACAAAAAGTTAAAGTGCAAAATAACAGGCAGAAATTTGATATTTCTCAATATCCCTCAATACCTCATTTTTAAATCGTTCTATTATAGATACTGATCAATTTTTCGAAAAAAATATGACATTACCCACACTTTTGCCCAATGAATTTCATGACTTCTCTGGAATTAAGATATTGCACTCTCAAAGATCAATTTAGCTGATATATTTTTATATCAATAAATACAGCTAGGAAACAAATGACATTAACTAGAGAAATTTCCTTAGACCTATTAAAAAAAAGAGCAATTTTCTAGTGAGTATATTTTTACAATATGATTTGAGAATATATGACTTTTCCAAGACGTCATTATTTCATTAGATGTTATTCTTTTCATGATTTTTCCAAGTCTTGAAATTTTATTCCATTTCCCATGGGAACCCTTGAATAATCAAAAACTTTCTTTGCTCCCAGTCAAACAGATGCCACAAACTCTCCACCACCTCCACGTTCTGCCATGCACATGCGCTCAAATGGATTGGGCACGACACATGCAGTTGGAAGTGCAGCTGGAAGGCTGTTACATGCGTCATTGCTCTCGTGGCTGTCTATGCGCTGTGCAGTGGCTCTGTGTGAATGAGATATCCAGAGATCTCCAGACTGCACAGACTCCTCGCCGCCACATATGAGCGTGACCTCACATTACCTGGGGGTAACATCCAAAAAAACCAATAACCATTGGTGTCGAGTGAACAAAGAGAGGAGCTCACCTTTACACACCCCCTTCCCAAACTGCCCCTATGCCAAAGACCAAAATATAACCAAATATTCTTTTTGTTGAGCTCCTCTGAGCATCGTAACTTGACGCAGCACGTTGGGGTTTGGCAACCGGTTTACATAATTGGGCTCACGGGAAAATTGCAGGCTGTGGCCTCACTCTATGGCTTTGACTGCAAAGAAGTGGGTTTCTGGGATTCGCTCAGTCAAACAATCTTTTGTGCTGTGCTAATGTGCCCTCATTAGCATGAATATTTTCAAATGAAGGGTTAATATGGAGAACTACTGCATAAAAATCCAACAAAGTCAAAGTTATAGGTCAAACAAATGTTTGCGGACATTCAAACTTTGAGTCGTAATGTAAAATTGCCACAATAGAGCGTGATGAGAAGCATTCAGTAAGGGCAGTAATTAACAATTTCACACCAATCAGCACACGAACACCCACATACACACTCAGTAGCTGATAAAATGCAACCCAACAGAAAGCAGGAAGTGACAAGAGGAATAAAATTCTCAACATTGTACAGTGGTCACAATCATTGATACATTCAAAAAGAATGTACTCCATATCTTACCATTCCCGCCCAGGGCAGAGACTCAGATGACAAAAAAGAGAGAAAAAAGAAGAACGAAGGGAAGAAGAAAGACAGGAGGTGGAATTTCCCCAGGCCTCTCCAAAAGTTCAGAACAGAGGAGCTACATGGAGAGAACTAATCGAATAAAGACTGGAAGAGAGAGAGAACAAAGAGGAAAACAGTGCAGAGGAGAGATACAACACTAAAAAGAATTAAAAATGAATCATGGAAAACAACAAGTTAACACTTTCCATAAATAAGTCATTAGCAAATTGGATAAAGCATTAACGAACCAGACGCCTGTGGGCTTCTATAATGTTCCTCAATTTTGTTTGAAGACATGAAGTATTCCATTAAAGCTCAAAAAAAGTTTCCTTATCGCCTAATATTCCACTCTTTTTAATACTAATGGCTTCCATATAAACCATTTAGTTCCACCTTTAAAAACTAAGTTTAATTGAATCAGTGCAAAACTGAACACATTTAGAAACAATCTCATCTTGTGAATATTTAAAAGTGTTTCAGTGGATTATTTACTGTGTTATTAATGATCTAATGTCTACTAGTGTCTAATGATTTAATCTAGAAAAAAAGACAATTAACAAGTTAAAACAAACACACTTTTTAAAGCAATTTCACTTACAAAGAGCAATTTTCTAAATGCTATAATACAAATAATAAAAAAATAAACTGGACTAAACAAATTTTTCACTTTTCCAAGACTTTTAATGTTTTCATGATATTTCCAGGCCTAGAAAACTATAATTCTATTCAATTTCGATTTCCCATGGGAACTCTGCAATAGTCAAAAATCAAAAGCATTATTTGTCTCCAATTAAATAAAAGCCACAAACTTGCCACCACCTCCACATTTTTGCCATGCACACTGTGTACATGAATGTAACACAATGCAGAATGTGGCTGTCAAGTCATTCACTTGTGCTCCGCTTCAATTGTAACCATTTTTTAAAAGTGGAAATAAACTATTTTATATGAGAGACATTAGATGCAGAATTGAAAATAGTGGAATATTCAAGTTTCTTTGGAATAAATAAAATACCAGGTTATTACTGGTTTAGAACATGCTTCTTTATATTGGGAATGAGTTGCTGGGTGTGCAGTGTGTGCATGAATGAAACACAATACAACAAATCCCTCCAAGCTAGGGTGGTTCCTGTTTATCCCAAGCAGAAATCAATTACTTCAGTATGTTTTTAGTACACACGACACCTGACCAAACAGCGCAGAGCTATGCCCCCTTCCTAAACAGCAATTACAGCGGTTGTTGCTTTCCCGGGCTGTATATTTGCATAGTCTGATGTCCACACCCACATGAAGCTGCTGTACAGCTCACTGCATGTGCCTTCCTGCCCGCAAATCAATAAACAGAAGCTCGTTACCACATGGAATCATAGTAACGGAATAAGAAAATCTAATTTTTTTTGTTTTTATAAATGAGACTGTTGCAACGAATGATGTCTTTATAAACAGTGCCACCAGAGGAGTGATGGACAGCAATGAGGGAAATGCTATTTTCATCAATCGTCCATTGACTGCAGCTGGTTTTGATGATTTTTGTGCAGTATAAGTTGCTTTCAGGTTATAAAATAGTAGATCCATCACACGAGAGCCCAGAGACTTTCACTAGCACTTTTCACGATGTTTGTGAAAACCAGATGTGGAGGAAAATGGCTTTAAATAGATATAAAACAGACTATCAAAGTAACAAGTTATCAACAAGCACAATCTTCAGAGTCATTAAGATTAAAACCCTTTGAACTTAAACCAGGAAACACTTTTTAGAGTTTAGGCTCACACGAGACTTGCGCATGGAGGTGAAATTAACTGTGGGTGGGTATAAAATATTTAAATATATTGAACAAAGATGTACTAGTATGTATAGTTCTGTATTTAGTATGTACAGAGCAACCTGCTTTTAACCCAACACACCCAACTGAACACAAACACTGAACAGCTGGACCTGAGGACTGCTACTGCTGGTTTGTTTAACTTCTATGCTGAAAGATGAGCATATCCATGTAGTTCACCAGAAAAACTCGCTGTTTGACAGCTGGTTTCTAGATTTTTCATAATTGATCACAATCCTATGAGCCTAGCACTTTTTGAACTGTCTGATTACCTTTAGCCACTCTTCGGCCTGTTCTTTGCTCTGAACGGCAAGCACCAGAGCATCAGCTCCCTGATGGACTATCTTCAGTTCATGCTTCTTTTTCTTGCCGTCTTTGGGAATGTGTGTGATAATGCAGCCAGACAGGAGGAGCTCCATCTGTGGAGTCTGGTCTTTGGAGGACTTGTAGCACTTAGAGAAAGAGAGATGCATTAGGGAAGCTGTTTAGCTTATAAATATTTTCCTCTGAAATCATTTTGTTTACACACTACAACAGAAGCTGAGTCAAACCAAGCAGAATCGCTTAGAAATAGAAGCAATGGGAGAGTGGGGTAAGATGTGCCAGTGGGTAAACTGAGTTACACTGATAATCATGCAAACTGTGCAGAATTTTCAAGTGACCATACATTTAGGCAAATCATATACAGCTTCCTGTGATTATGAAATGCACATAAAATAGATAAGGATGAGAAAAGTTGCATTTTTATTCAAAAAATAATAATAATTCTCCATGTCAAGGTACTTTTTTACATGGCAAGTAAGTTACATAAATGTAAAATTTCAAAGCAAACCTATTCAGAATTAAAAATATAATTACTTATGTAGAAAAGTAAATTGTTAGACTAAACATTTACCATTAATTATTAAATTATTTTTCCTAAAATAGCTCTGTGGGGTAAAGTGTGCCAGATGCTGTACTATTGCAACTTAAAGTAAGCTTTGCCTCCAAATACATAAAATGCTATTGCAAATTGTTTAAATGTCTTTTCACTGCATTAAAATAATCTGAATATTAAAATGTTATGAAAATGTGAACAATGTGCAATACTATAAAGACCTTAGCATGAAATTTATTTTACTAATTAACTCTTTCCCCGCCAGCGTTTTTGAAAAAAGTTGCCAGCCACCACGTTTTTGCTGATTTTCACAAAAATTTCATGGCCCCCAGAATATTTTGTTGTATGAATATCTAAACATGCAATACATCAAAATAAAGATCAGACCCTCTACTTTCAAACAAAAAATCTGTTTTATTCTAGCTTCAACACTTGAATGTAGGAAGGTTTCATAAAAATAGCAACATTTTGAGCAAAAAGCTGAGAAAATCGCATTTTTATCAAATACTACATTTGGATCATATTTAGTAATATTATCAAAGCAAAGATGCAGTAGATGGCTTCCATCAGTACTCCCAACACTTGTACAGGCCTTTACCACTTCCTGGATTGACATTTCACTCTATAACATTAGGCAGTTTTCACTTATATGCGGTTAGTGTTGATGATGGTATTATTTTTCATATGCATAATATGCATACATATGAGATCGCTCATTTCTGCGTCTTCCTGATCTGTGTTTTTGATCGGCACATTCAAGACTCATTCAGGAGATGCATAATAGCGCCCCCTAGCATGTAACAGTGAAAACACGGAAACCTGGAAAATTCCATGTTTGGCAGGGAAGCGTTGTCTCATGAATAACAGAAAATTCTGTGTTTGGCGGGGAAAGAGTTAATAAATTAGCAAATTGTCCCTGAATCACTTTAGATTGAGAAGTTATTATATTGCTATGGCCTGTTGTCCGCTGACAGGTAGTCTCGCATAGCCAGACCTTCAGACTGACGGCTGAAGGTCTGGAATCCATGGCAGCTTTCATTGGCCAAGGATAAGCTCAAGCATTTGTCAGAGTATTTAAAGAAACGCTAGCAAATCAAGAGCCCCTTCTACAGTATCATGATTTGATGCTGGCAAAGACACAAGAAAGAGCAGCGCCCGTCCTGTTTGAGAGCTCTTCTGTCATGTCTGGCTCCTTCACTCTTCATAATAAGTTTATCTCCATCTTGAAGGCAGATGTTGTGGCTTTTACGCTTGGAGAAAGTGGCTCTGGGGTTCAGTGTTAGTGTTAGTGTTGGGGTAACGTGATCCAGGCATCCAGCTCAGCAGCTTAAGCAATCGCACGTAACTTGACTTACAAATCTTACAGATACAAATCAAACTAGCCTATCCTCACACAAACGTTCAACCATACATTCACTTTTACTGGTTTCACATTTTAGTGGCTTAAGTGGCTCTTGGATTTTGTGAGCAAAGAACATTTTAGTCCTCAATCTGAAACTAATGATGATGTGTTAATGACAATGACAACTCTAGTTGTAACTAGAGTTATTATAGTTAACTGAAAGTAAACCATTAACTCTTTCCCCGCCAGCGTTTTTGACAAAAAAAAGTTGCCAGCCACCGCCAACGTTTTTGCTGATTTTCACTAAAATTTCATGGCCCCCAGAATATTTTGTTGTATGAATATCTGAACATGCAATACATAAAAATAAAGATCAGACCCTCTACTTTCTAACAAAAATCTGTTTTATTCTAGCTTCAACACTTGAATGTAGGAAGGTTTCATAAAAATAGCAACATTTTGAGCAAAAAGCTGAGAAAATCGCATTTTTATCAAATACTACATTTGGATCATATTTAGTAATATTATCAAAGCAAAGATGCAGTAGATGGCTTCCATCAGTACTCCCAACACTTGTACAGGCCTTTACCACTTCCTGGATTGACATTTCACTCTATAACATTAGGCAGTTTTCACTTATATGCGGTTAGTGTTGATGATGGTATTATTTTTCATATGCATAATATGCATACATATGAGATCGCTCATTTCTGCGTCTTCCTGATCTGTGTTTTTGATCGGCACATTCAAGACTCATTCAGGAGATGCATAATAGCGCCCCCTAGCATGTAACAGTGAAAACACGGAAACCTGGAAAATTCCATGTTTGGCAGGGAAGCGTTGTCTCATGAATAACAGAAAATTCTGTGTTTGGCGGGGAAAGAGTTAATAAATTAGCAAATTGTCCCTGAATCACTTTAGATTGAGAAGTTATTATATTGCTATGGCCTGTTGTCCGCTGACAGGTAGTCTCGCATAGCCAGACCTTCAGACTGACGGCTGAAGGTCTGGAATCCATGGCAGCTTTCATTGGCCAAGGCCCGCCCATGAGGCCGTTTGACCGACGTGTCAAACAACCAATCACAGTTCGTTTCGTTCA